TATTTATTGATGTTTCTCTGCGGTTCTCTGCACTGCTGGCTGCATAGCAAATTACCCCACGAGGATAATAAAGACTCCTTGAACCTTGAACCTTAGGTGTGTGTTTTATTTGTAATGCAAGCAAAAGCTGGACTTTCAATTTTGCTTCTTTTGAGTGAGCAGCCCAGGCTGTCTTTGGAGATACAGTAGAGACTGAGTGTGTTGGGCGAGATGGCATTTATAGACATATGACGACAAGGGGAGTGTTTAAGGTGTGGTCCTGCTCCTGAACTTGGGCTAAAATGTTTTTTTTATATCCATTTATTGTTTGTGTATCCAAAGGCAGGTACATTTATTCTGCTTATCCAGAGTCGGGTGTTGGTGGCAGCAGCCTAAACAGGATATTCCAGACATCCCTCTACCCAACAAGGTTTCTGCCTCCTCCTTGGGCATCCCAGGCCAGATGAGATATGTATTTCCTCCAGTGAGATCTGGGTCTGACTAGTGTGTCTTTCTAGTTGTCTCGAAAATCTCCAAAGTTGGGAACTTGGAATCCTAATCAGATTCCCAAATCCCCTCAGCGGGCTCCTTTTGGCACAAAAGAGCAACGACTCTACTCAGATATCTGAGTTCCACGTAGTATCTCTAAGTATGAGCTTGGCGAATTTCAGCTGCTTGCATCTCATTCTTTTGGTCACTACCCAAAGCTCATGATTAGGAGTGAGGGTTGGATCAAAGACCGACCCGTGAATCTAGAGTTTTGCCTTCCGGCTCAGGTCCCACGTCACCACAATAGTTGGGTACAACGCCTGCATTACTGGTGATGCTGCATCAATCCATCTGTCCATCTCAAGCTCCATTTTTCCATCACTTGTAGACAACCAAACTAGACACTTACCAAGAAGGAGCAATTTATCAGTTTCTAGCAGAGCACTGTGGCCTCAGACGTGGAGGTATTGACTCTCATCCCAGCCGTTTTACACGTGGCAGCAAATCATCCCAGTTTTCATTGAAGGTCACGATCTGATAACGCTAGAAGAACTATGTCATCTGCAAAAAGTAAAGACGTGATCCTGAGGACGCCAAACCAGACACCCTCCTTATCCATGAATTTGAGATGGACTTTTACGAGCTGAGCAGCAGGCAAAGCTGCATTAATCCACAGCTGAAAATAGTTCTTAACAAAGCGTACCATTTCCACCTGTTTAGGTAAAGCTTGTTTAAAAAAGGACAGTGAAAATGGCAAAGAAGCTTTAGTTTTTGTGAAACAGACAAGCCAGGGAGGTCCAAAAGTACTAAGAGATGGACCAACACATTGTTTACAAATAGAAATACACACAACAATAGCAACATTTTCCTTAAGGAATCAATTTTATGGTGTAACAACCACTTTGTAAATGTCAAAAGCACAAGTTTCCCTTGCTACAGAAACAGGGTTGCATTTCTTAAGTGGAACTAAAAGCGTGCTTTGATACGAATACACCGGTGGGCTGCTTTTCGTTCGAAGCTGCTTAGCGGGCCGTGCTCCAAGGGCAATGTGTAAACCGGTCTCAGATGACTGGCTGTACAAACAAGTGTTAGAGGCTACGGCTGACCTTTAGCTCGAGAGTATAAAGGCAGGTTTAACTGAAGTGGTCTTTGAAATGGCTCATCTATTCTGTGAACATTCGGTTGGCGGATAAGACTCTTATCATTTCCTATTTCGTCTGTGCCACTCACTCCCAATCCCGATGGTCCATTGTGAGGAAAAAACTTTTTAAAAGTCCTCCTGAATGTATAGATTTTTTTTTAAACCACAGAATGATTTCCTAAAACAGCTGTTTTTGTTTTTTTCCATATAATGTTTTTATTAGGAACTATTTTTAGTAGCAGAATAAACCACATTTTTGGGCAGCAGGCGCATGTGGGGCTGGATATTGTGAGAAATTAAAAATAAACTACAGTCAGTGTGTTCATGGTTGTGAAGGAACAGAGCGGTTCACTGTTGTGGTTCTAATAAACAGTGGCGTGCTATGGCATGGTGGAAAATTATTATTTTTGGTCTTGTCATGGTGCTTGATGACATCGATCATCTCGTTACCAAGCAATGATTTGCTGGGAAACCCTCGGTCCTTTATAAATGTGGATGTTACTTTGACGTGTATCACCTACCTAAACAATAAATGGTTTTCTGCTGCAGGAGCCCGTACGCCATTTTGGAATGTCTGAACCAGTGTGAATGTTGCTACCACTAGAACTGTTCCTGTAGAACCTCTTCAGGCGGAGGAAAAAAAGTATCTACTCCGCCCTTTGAGCTTTTCTGTTCTCATTGTAGTGAAGGATCAGGCAGCTTTGATCGAAACGAGAACTTTGAGTGCATCAAAACGATGACCAGTGGTAGTTACTGGACGTAACACCAGTTCTATGAGCATGCAGGCAATAGAACAAAGGAGGTTTGTTAAGTTTGCCTGTATGGTGAGAGGAGGTATTCAAAGACGGATATTGAAATGGCAGAAAAAATTGCACTTGCTGTCCTCTGTTAGTTCAACCAATCAGCATCAACTTTTACATAGCAGTTTTTGGGAAAGCACGGCACTCAGAAGTGGCTGGAGCAGGTGATTTTTCTCCCCTAAAAGAGATTCTACAGGGGTGGTTCCTGGGGTTGGAAAATGCAAAAAGGTTTGTGCCGCCCTAAAAATTCTTTCAAGTTGCTGCAGTGCAAAACAGCCTCCTGTTGCGCTGTAGTTTTCTCCTCTCGAACATCCCCATCTGCAATGTAAATTCACCTTACAGGCTGACATAGCACTATATATTTACATATCATCAAGAGTTTACCTTATCTAAGATGTTTACTTTCCACATCATAGCTGGAAAATAGCTGTTAGATGTTGTTGCAACTCGACAAAGACAGTGGTGGTATGTTTATACTCTTGGGATGCTCTAAGCTGCAGCACTTTAGCGTCAAATGTATGATAAATAAGATAGAAGAAGACTCGCAAATAATTTGTCTCTTGAGAAAAAGGAACAAAGACCCTGCAGGGTGTTCGCAAACAGAGCAGAACTGAATGAGGTGAAGTCAGCAGCAGAGGCAGAAGCAAAGTGAATGTCAGCAAACACAGTGAAGGTGAGCAGCGAGGGTTTCAGGCTGTTGAATCAGCTCTGTGAGATGAAGCACAATATTACATGTAAAAGGTTCTTAACTCAAAACAAAACAACACATTTCCCTACATCGAATATAAGAGGCGATTATCTCTCATGTCTGCTTTTACTTAAAAATTTGATAGATGTTAATGACTGATGAAGCATTTCTGAAACACTGGACCTCTATCTCCCAAAAGGACTGCCAACAGTGTAAACTGAGAAACACAAACTGGGACTAGAGGGAATCCAACAGGTTTAGGTGTTACTGAAGAAACAGTCTTAACCTCCTAAAGCTCTGCATCATTATATGGGGACTTAACATTTAGAGTTTTCTGCATCATAAACTTTATTCTGCTTAAATTAGACCTATCGTGGCCATTTGGGATGCATTTTGCAGCATCTAGAGTGCCAAAGCCCTAATCAGGATAAAAATAAGACGCTGGCAAAACATTCTACATTACAGACCGAGATTCAATCGATAAAGTTGGAACTTGTTTATTTATGCTTAACCTTCACAGAAATATTAGCAAAAAAAAAGCTCTTCAAAAGTTACAATGCACATTAAAACATTTTCCCCCCAAAACGAACTACTATTCTGTGACATTTTTTAGTTTTTACACTTATAAAGTGCTACTAATCCCAAATAGATAGGAGAAATGAAAAATGCACACAATATCAAAGCAGGAGCAACAGTTTTGACAGTGAAAGAGCCACAGCCACCAAGACCAGAGAACGAGTGTCAGTGTGATTAACATTCATATTGATAATAGACTGTTAATTCATCCCCCAGAGTTGGACTATCGATGTATAGTTCTCCTATAATGTTCTGACCATTCAACATTGAACATTTAAGCCACTGTGTGTCCATTCACACCAGGTTTTTTAGCCACTCCTACACAAATTTCCTTCCCCGTGCGTCCTACTTGCCAAACTTAGCTTCATGCGACTTCTTTCTCTTCCCAAAAATTCAATTCAAAATATAGGGTATGCACTGCAGATGGTGTTTAACATGTTTACATAACAGGACTTTTGGGGAGCGTTGAAGCGTTGCTGGAGCACTGGAAGCACTGTATCGCTGCACAAGGAGACCGTCTCAGCGGGGATGGCAGCCAATTTTAAATCCCAAATAAAGTCGGTTTTTGATTTCTACAGTCTGAAATTTCTGATCACACCACATAGCTGTGACTTCAATAAACTAAATAAGTGCAGACCTGCAAGTCTGACTCAACATAGTACCTCATTAATCAGGACACAAGCTAATACTTCTCTATGGAGTTCATCTCCAATCAAATATGCTGAAAGTATTGTTTAAACACATTTCAGAGAATGACAACAAATGTGCATATTATCAGCTGTGATCTATACGTACATAATTATGCAAAGCGAACTGGATCAGAAAACAAGATAAATGTGAATTGAAACTGATAAAAGAAGAAATCTTGAAAAAGACCCTGGTCGTATAGAGGAATCTACATTAGTCCTGGTGGGACTCCAGTTTATGAATTGTTTATAGAAAGTGAAATAATTTATAACACTTTAGATGTTAGTCGTGCATTTTCTTCTTGATGCACACGTCTTTCAGTTGCATTTGTAAAGATTTCTGCTTCACCCAATGTGGTGTTGTGCTTTTTTTTTTATTATTTCAACTTTTACCAGTGAAGCTAAATGGACATCAGAGTTTAGTTTGGAGTGTGAACGTGTCAGTGATTACGCTCCCCCTAATGGGAAACACAGTTTGGTATGTTGCTCCACATTTCTCCCACTATTTCTGTCAGATTTGATAGATCTAGCTTTAATCTTAAAATAGTACCAGGTCAGTCCAGTAGTGCTCCATTACACACACACACACACATGAACACACATCTGTGCTGATGTAGCTCGGAAACACCCCCGCGGCTCACCTGGTTGTATAGGGCACAGATGTGTAGAGCGGCGTTTCCCGAGGCATTCTGGGCGCTCATGTCTGCTCCGTAGAACAGCAGATGTTCCAGGTGCTGCACGTGGCCATGACGACAAGCCTGCACACACAAACACACACACACACACACACATATACAGAGTCTGTCAATAAAAGCCTTTGACATATCGAGAGAGCAGCTGCAGTAAGATGACGTTAACACTAGATGTCAGTGTGCTGCAAAGGAGCCGAGTAGCAGCTGTAGCCTCAGTTTGAACCCAGTCATCATCAAAAGATGGGAGGATAGGATGGAAGACGAGGGAAGCTTAAAGAAATCCGATAGCGAGTCAAAAAGCAATATCATGCAGAAATGCACAGCTGAATCCGCAGGGAGTTAAAAACAGAGGCTGGGCAGAAAGTTCCTGCCTTTATGATCCCGGTTTCTGTGTAAATTGGCATTGATGTTGGGAGTTACGGTGACAGATGCCAGTTATCTGTTTGGTCCAAGAAGGGATGGGGGGGGATTATGTTGAAATGGCCTATTTACACTGCAGCTTATTTCAGACACTTGGGGGGTTGTGAAGAAGGGACAATGTCTGTTTATCGACCAAAGCAGGTAACAGGGAAAAGTATCTCATCATCAAGTGAGCAGCGTGTTACCAAATAAAGTTTTTCCTCAGCCAGGCTAAACGTTACTGTATTTGTATGTTTGATTTGGTTTGAGATTTCAATTTTAAGGTGTTTCATGGTGAATGTTTTGATAGTTCAAAGACATGGCTCTGTTAAGCTGTTACTTTGAGGTTATTAATTAGTTTTTGACACAAAACACCTTAAATCTGCACAGAACGATGATTATTATGTTGCTCTAGAAAGAACGCTGCAGTGCCTCTGATTAATTGGAGTCTCTCATATGTGTTTTAATGAGTAGCTCAACAATACCTAGCAGTACAGAGGACTCAATTCTTTTGTGATGTATTACCAAAGTTATAATGCCATGAATCATAAGAGAGAGAGAGAGAGAGAGAGAGAGAGAAAGTAGAACAACTTGGATTATTTTATTTTATTAAAATAAGAAAAAAATTGAATCAACATGTACAACATTTTCCAAGTGCCCATTTGGTTATCAATACTGGAAAGAAGTGGCTTCACATACTATAAATATGTGGCTAAATATATTCTAATTGGGTTCCATATTTACTTGTTCTGGGTAAACCATTCTGCAGTTCAGCCAAACAGTCCCAGAACTTTTGTCACGTGACTCTCGGTAGCAGCTAAGGAACTAAAAGCTTCGTGGTTTCTCTGCGAGGGCAGGAATTTGTTATTTTTTACAGGCTGTAGTACAAATGACTTGTTGATGTTTTTCTAAATGAGACATACAGAATGAAATGATGTTGGTGAAATATCACAATTTGGAGCATGGAATTGGTTAACTTTCCTGACAGAACTGTCATATAAGATTTATTCAAGGACCATTGTAAAGCTCAAAGTCAGACGTGTTTTTCAGTTTTTTTTACTTTTTCTGGCCGAATATTTTTGTTATTTTGTCAGCTCTTAAAATGGTAATACGTCTCACACACTGCTGGCAGGTTTTTGGGTTTAGAGGATTCAATCAGGTAAAAAATTTTTATGTTAATCTGATTCCTTTATTGGAAAGCAGTTTGGATCAATGTCTGTTTTAAAATGTCATGTAAAAAATAACGTTGACTTGATGTGACCTTGTCACAGCAGAGAAAGTGTCTTTTTCTTGAAAGCCCACTCTTATTTTCAAAATTCTGTCTGTGTATTTGGGCCAAACCTTACCAACAATAAAATAAATTATATTGCAACATGAGTATTGCTTTTAGTGCAAAAGTAAACTGCATTTCTTATCCACCAAAAGCTGTTTACACCTTACCAAACAAACATGTTTCCGTAAATATAGAGAATATGATCTGCAGGCTTAGCCACCTCTGTGCTTCATCTAAACTGGTGTGTTATGACACATTGTACCTATTGCACTTATATTTTCGACTAATTGTTCATCCCTACTCTGTACTCTGAATGCTATTGTCACAGAATGCCAGAATACAGAACAAAAGCTTCTCTCCTTTTCTGTCATCTATCAGTGCACACTCTATGTATTACACACTGCCTTCATTGTTCCAACCAACTAAATGCTTACAAGTTTTTAGTCTATTCAGTAAAAAAAATAAAAATAAAAATGGTGTGGTGTGGGGATGTTCAGAGGTTAATTGTGACCATCGCTTTGGAACATTCTGCTATAATTTCAGTTTTTCACTTTTCACAATTAAGCCTCAAATTACAGTTCAGGAGCGTCAACGTCTCTGGCACATCCGTTCAGTTGGTTTTTCATGTTTTGACAAATACATCTTTAGTAAACTCTGCAGCAGAACCGAATAAAATTGTACAGTTTAATTTCACACTGCAAATTATCAGCAAAAATATTAAAGATGTCAAGTAGCTAATCTGGAGAGGTCACAGCTTTTATAGAATTCCCTGTCACTGATGATGAAGTTATGATTAGACTGAGGTCAGCTCGTTCGTAGAATACTGTGAGCTGGAATTGAAAGCGAAGGGATAATGATTGGTTAATGAGAAGTTCTGCTGCTGAATGTATAAATACTTGCAAGTGGTGTTGGAGTAAGCTCATATAACAGACTTACTGCTGCTCGAAGAAACCAGAACCAGGACTGCAATTAATTCATTTTGTTATCAATAAATCTGTAACTTGTTAACAATTAAGCAATTCAAGGATTAATCTTCAAAATGTCACAAGAATGTCTGACACTAGCTTTATAAACAGCTTATGTTCTTACTAAAGATGCTGGAAGAAGCATGTTAGAGATGTTTTTACGTGGTAGTGTCGAGGCTCTAGAACTGGAACTGCTTTGGTACAAACCAGTTTACACCTGGGAAAAACCACAGGGTCTTGTGGGCCATATAAGGGCAGTCTGAACTTTTTGTGCTTGTTCTGCCAGCAAGAACCGCCCCTGGAGAACCTCTTCTGGGGCCGTCTGAAGGGGAGAAAAAAAAGCTCGTCCATGGAGGCATTTCTGGGTGGGTCTCAATGTTGATGGTTAAACACGAAGAAGACAAACACAATTATTTTCTCTGCTCACTCAGTGTCCTCGTCTAGAAACAGCCTTTCTCTCTCTAACATTGCCATCTTTGACATAATATTCAATTTGTATCTGATGATTTGCAGTGGAAAAAAAGTGGAAGAGGTCATTTTTTTGAATCAGTTGAGCTTTGACTGCAAAGTTAGCTCCAAGAACACAAAAAAAAAAGTCAAACATTAGTTACTAGACATGACTCGAGTTCTACGAGCACGTAGAAATAAGGACAATAAAGGTTTGCAATGTTAAACTATGCACACACACATAAATACAGGCATACAGGCTAACATAAACCTCCATTGTCCTGATTCCATTGTGCTCATGGAACTGGAGTCAGGTCTAGTACCTTTTACTTGATTTTGTTTTGGTGCATTCTGAAGTTCACGTTGCAGCCGAAGCTCAACTGATTCAAAACAACGACCTCTTCCACTCCCTTTCTATTTTGGAGGGAAAAAAAACAACAAAACTAATTTAAAATAGCTGCAGCTTTAGAATCACTCTAATATGATCACGCCAAAAAAGAACGCCCTAAAGTTTCTGGTCAAAGCGTCGGAAAACAGAGCAGTGGACCACTGATGACAGTAAAAACTTAAAGATATCTTTCAGTTATCTTAAGTTTTCAGGTATTATGAATAATTTATCTACTAACGGTCATTCCATAAATGTCGCTGTCAAAATGCTGCAAGACCCGACTTACAGCAATCATTAAAACTTTGTCTGTTTAAGCTTCTCTTGTGCAAAAAAACACAAGACATAAAAGAACACTGATGGTATTTTTGCAAAGATGAGGACTTCCTGAATCCTACGATACCAAACTTGTTTATGATTACTGACTTGGTGAGTGTGGGCAAACTGAAACAATGGAAGGGGAGGAGACTTAGGATGTTCTTGCAGAGTTCATGGGGTTAAAGCTGATAAACGTTCAAAATGATGACAGACAGTAAAACAAAAAAGAGAGATTTTGCTTGTCTTGGCTCCTCCGCAAGGGCCATCAGAGGTGTCATTAATTTATCACGACGGCTCCTTAGGAAGGAGTGGCAGCAAAAGTCTTCTCTGCTCATCTTTAGCCTTCACTTTACTGGAACAGTCAGCGGCATCATCCTTTAATCAGCTTATGGTGCTGTTAACTGACAGGTCTGCATGCATTAAATACTGATGTTGCAGCAAGGAAACTGTCAGGCTTGCATTATAATTCCAGCACCTTTGACTTCTAGTTGATTAAAATATTATTCAAAATGCTGTTAAATACTGTCTTTCCGACGACAAACTGCCCCAGCACTGAGCAAAATCAATTAATTTTAGCGCTTAAATTCAGAAATCTAGATATGATGGGAGAGTAAGTAAAGCTCATTTCATCATTAGAGCTGGACGGCTGCCTGGAGCAACAGATGGTAATTGGACTGCACATTAATAGAACTATTTAACTTTCTACAGACTAAATAGCCCGACATGGCACTGGACTAGGCACAACTCATCCATGAGTGGATGCCGGGCTGTAGCGTCCCAGTTGACTGGCTGATTGGTTGGATGATATGCTGTCATTTGACCAAATTCTCATTGGTAGGATAATTACCAGGGGTTACTTTCATATGGGAAAAAGCACTACATCAACAGCCCTGCTGGTTTGAGCCATTATTTCTGACAGCGGGAGGAACAGAAACTTATGGAGACTTTAATGTTTACTGAACGTTTGCTTGAAGTCGGCTTCAAACTGACTAAAAGTGTGCCAAAGAAACTGTTAATGTGGCTGCATTTTGTTCAAACTGATGGCCGAAAAGTGTAAACTCTGCAATTAGCAGTTTGTATATCACAGCTGAACAACCAACACGAAACATTATCTAAAACCAGCAGCTAACCTCTCTGCGCTATATTCGTCAATAGTTCTTGTGCTGTGATCACCAGTTGATATGGTTCTATTTTCAGAAATCATGTGAACGTGGACAGGTGCACAATAGTCTGCTCCGAGTCTGTTTTTATCACTTTAGTATTAAAAAGTAACGATTTAATTGCTGCAAATACTAGCTTTTCATGCTACTTTACTATATATTTCAGCTAATGAGGCTAGCAGGTGGCCCATTTTGTTCATCTACAGATCCGAGGGTACTTCAGAAAGTTCTCAATCTCACCTGGAAACAAGGGGCATAACTGTGTAACTGCTATCAAGCCTTGTATCACTGCTCACAAAAGCTCAAATGTTTGTCATAATGTCTTGGCATTCTTTATATTTCTTATTTTCTTTGATTGCTTCAAACATGAATTTTTTTTGTAGGCAGTCATAGATGATATGCCCCAACACGGGAGCTACACCCCTTGTTTCTGGGTGAGGCCTCGAACTCATTGAAGTACCTTCATAACCTGCAGATTATTTTTGTCCTGCATTTCTAAAAATTGGTTGAAAAATATGCATGATTTCAGTCGACCAGGACTTTTTTTGGTTCACTTCATCTCTAAGTAGATGACTCACTTTTTATCACCAGAGAATGGGGCCCAGGCCGCACAAGAGGTTATTAATTATTAAAAGAACTTCAAATGATTCTTTTATAGTGGGTTTTATATATATGAAAAGACTGTGACCACTGAATGTTTCAGGATTTTATGAATGAATAAACAACCTTGAACTGTGAACCAGCGGCAGCTATTCCACTGTTCGCTGACAGCTGATTGTTATCGTGTCTGAAATGGGACAGATGGGGGAGGCAGACTTTTTTGCAACTCGACAGGGAAAGAGATATAAGCAATCTGATGAAGCTGATGGCTCGAACACACACTTGTGCTCACATATGCACACAACGCTGCACGGGGACGCTCACAGTTTGTCACTGCTGCAGGGTGGCTCTCTTTAAACGGCTTTATCTACTTGAACGGCTGCCAAGACGGTCGCCCACAGTCGGGGGAAGGCTGTGTGTGTGTGCCTTCACAATACAAGCTGCTTCGAAAAAACTCTCAGCGCTTTTGTGTGTGTGTGTGTGTGTGTGTGTGTGTGTGTGTGTACTTGGTGAGTGTAGATGTGTGTGTACCTGGTGAACTTCGTGCCAGCCGTTCTCGTCCTGGCAGCAGACGACGGCATGGTGGTTCAGCAGCAGCTCACAGCAGCCCGGGTCTCCTCCCACCACCACGCTGTGATACAGAGGAGTCAGGCCACGACTGTCCTTGTAGTCTGGAGACGCTCCGAGCTCCAGCAGAGTCTGAGGGGGTACAAAGGGGTGAGGTGGGGGAGTCAAAAACAGACAGAGAAGGGATTTGTGAGACACTATAACTGAACAGGGTTACATTTCTATGTAACAGATATCACCATGAAACTTCCCCCAGTGATTAATTAGGACAGTGAGTTTTCCATATGACAGGTTTTCTGATGTTTACATTTACAAAATGTGCTTATTTCCAAAACAGAAATATGAGCATTGGATAAAGCCTGATAATTTTTTTCTTAGTCAAAGGTTGTCACTTTTTATCTCTCCACAAACCAGAAAATACTGCCAACAGTCAGAAAAAAAACTCAATTTTCTACATGTTTCTTGGAATAAAAAGTTCTCTAAATCAAGCCATGACTGATATATGAACAAACAGCTTTGTGAAAACCTTCAAAATACAGATATGAATAAAATTGGAGAGTTTGGTGTATGTAAGTATAACTGGAGAACAAACTCACTTTGAAAATACTTAATGCATAACAGCTGAAATCTAGTAGCTGTCTGCATTAAGTCATCATGGCGTTTGTAGCTACTCTGGCAACAGTTTTCCTTCAGGCTTGTTTACTTTGGTATAAACTTTCTGTTTACAGTCGGCTGTCGGTATGCTAAGGCTATTTTTCTATGGGTTCTGTTCGTTTTTCTTAAAAACCTGTTGGATAGCAAGGTTTTTGGACTGTTAAGGGTCAGAATGTCAAGTCACGACTGTACTTTAAAAAATAAAACACCAGTAATCATCACTGTCATTATAACCATTATAATAACCTTCATTTCTACACCTTACAAAGGGCTCAAGTCTGCCACAAAACAGAAAATACTATTAGATAAAATATTAAAATGGGCCAAATTAACAAAGGATAAAAGAAGTTAAAACTTTGTAAAGAGGGTGCTATATACCTAAAAATGCACTCATGTGCATTAATTTCCAGGAGAGAGATCTGAAAATTGGATATAGCCAATTTCAAAAATTTCATTTAATTTTGTTAACACTTTTGAGTCTAAGACTGACACTTTGTAATTACTCCATGAATCAGAAAATACTGTCAACAGCTAGAAAAAAAAAACAGTTTTTGGCAAGTATTTTGTATCAAAATGTTCTATAAATCAAACTATGACTGAGACGGAGGAGTCTGAAATGCGTGTGTAAATGGAGAAAAGATCCGCTTGAGGAAAGTGCTTTTAGGGATATGTATTGAAATTGAAATCCACCAACACAAATAGACAAAGTGTGGATTTTTTATTATCATTTTCTTTACATTAGTCTAAAACTGAATATTGCAAAACCTCAAAATCAACAGTGCATGAACGTTTTACCTGTAGCTGTCTGTCTTAGGTCATCATACGGTTTGTAGCTACTCAAGAGCAAATTCAAATACAGCCTTGTAAGTTTTGTTAAAAAGCTTCTCTTTAATTTAAGATTTATAACAAAAGCAATCCTCCTCATCATTCTTACCATCATAATAAACTTCATTTTTACACATTATAAAGGGCTTTAGTCTGCCACAAAACACAAAGTACAACTAATTAAAATATCAAAGCTGACATAGAAGATTAGAAAATACAATTATAAAATTCCCTATTCATAAAAGTGCATTGTTAGATTTAAAAGATAAAACAAATTTGCCCGTCTTAGCTCCTTGGAGACGACTGACAGCCAAAAAAACCCCCAACAAAAACCAAAAAAAACTGATTTGTCTTTGCTACCCTTCACTTTACTGGAACAGTCAGAGGCATCAACCCTTAATCAGCTCATCACGCTGTTATCTGACAGGTCTGCATGCATTAAAAACTGATTATGTTGCAGCGATCATGCTAGCGTCAAGACATCCTGCATTGCAAAGGTCAGCAGCAGTGAAAAGATTAAAAAAGGGGCAGATGCTTGTGTCTATTTACCGTGAGTATGACGTGGTTCTTGGACCTTGCAGCTTTGTGGAGGGCCGTCATGCCATCTTTGGCCCTGAAGTCCAAATGAGCTCCCCCGTTCCTCAGCACTTTGATCATCTCCGACACATTGTCTAGGTGAGCTGCAAACGTCAGCGGGCTCTCTAAACACAGAAATCATAGATAGTGAGTGTTAATGAAGCTGTATGTCCATAACAGAGAGCAGGAACAGGAAAAGGAAATCTCCAGCAGATGTCTTAATGACTAAACAAATATCCACCAGCTTTGTTTTTAAGTATATAAGAGGCTTATTCTGGAGTTAAACAACATTCTGAGATTTATTTGTTTCTATTTGGTTTTCAAAAGCTCATAACTGCAGTAGATTTGAATTATCTCGAGTAAAAACAATAGCGCGCATGACTCCGGGGACTGACACTGAGCATATGGTATATGCTTTTGTAGGAAACTCATGGGATGAGTCTGATTACATTTTGTAGAGTTGCTTGGTTTACATTAACATTGAATCCCAGCTCTTCCTTGTATATTTTGCGTATAATTTTACAACAGTCTTGAAAAACTGTTACTAAACAGTTTCCCTGCAGGGTTCAATGAAGTGCTTCTGATTTACAGGTGAGCTCAAGCTTGTTAAGTCGCACCTGTAGGGAATTTCATTAAGGGAAATTACCTGATAAGTACTGCTTGTTTCAGCGTATTTAGCCCTATTCACACAGGACTACTTTAACTTGAGGGCCTGTAGTAATTTCTAATAATTGCAGAGGTCGTGTGTGATCTTCATGCTGTGCTAATCTGCCATGTCCATAAGAAAAGTAGAAATTCCACCACAAATTTTCCGACCATATTTCACCAAACACAGAGTTCCTGTGAGGATTTTAGCTTGCAAAGGACTAGGATTACATGTCATTCATCTAATTATCCTTCAAGAATTCCTTCTTCTGATGGATTGGTTCTTTCTGTGAAGGCGTCTCCATGCTGTGTAGCATCACGAGTCTCCTGAATTTGCAACCAAAATGCTTCAAACATTCATTTATAATCCGCAATGCAGCCTCCAAAATTGTCAGATGGGAAAAAGGCAGAAGAAAGGTGTAATGAAAACATAAAACCTTGAATTTTTTTTTAAAGACCTCAAACAAAGAGATGGTAGTTCACATGGGACTACAACTACCACAGAATCTCTGCGCTTGACAGAATACGGGAGATAATTTTTACTTCATGAATTACAGACATTTTGACACAGGTTTAGGATCACAGACAACATCAAACATTTTAACAAAATAGTAGAAGTCACCAGGTAACACTAGTCCCATGCAAACAACACTAAAGGAACTCTTGACTCATCTGTTTTATGTGACAGGTGCATAGAAGAAGAATGACTTTATCAAAAAGCTTCAAATAGACTCCTGCACACAGTCTAACCTGCAAAAAACACATTTATTCATGACGTTTTGTTGCTAGATCTGTATCAAGCCAATGGTGCAGGACAAAGAGAAATCATTTTAAACAAGGGCTGGCTGTAAGTCCACAGCCAATCTTATTACCCACGTGAAAACATGAATCCCAAAACAACCATGAAGTGTGCGTTAGTGTCAAAGCCCCGTGCAAATCAGCATCGTGATTTGGGATCTTTTATTTGCACAATGCTTTATGATTTTTTATTTTGATTGCACTATTGAGTGCTTTAATTACAGAAGTTGCATTATGGCAATTTTGAATGTACCTTTGGAGCATTTTGTGTGCAAATTCAGCAGCTTCATGATGCCACACAACATGGAGACCAATTCTCATAAAGAGCAAGTCCATCAGAAGAGCTGAATCTTGAAGGATGAAATGAATGACAAACATGGCAGCATGACATAAAGGACATTTTACAGTCTTTTTCAACAGGCTCAACAGTTAATGGTCGATTAATAGTAACATTATAATGTAAAGAAATTCAAATGAACACAGGCTTCACTTATCTATGCCAATCTGCTAAGAAAAAGACAGACGTGGAGGAGTCATTTCTAAATCACATTAAGGTCCTCAGGTAATACTGGTCTCCTGCAAACAGGGCTTTTGTCTCCTCTTCTGGTATCAGCTATTTGCAGCAGCTACAAGCATCCCAAAAGGTTCACCTCAGAGTCCTAGCTGTGTTTTCTGTCTTCCATCGCTCATGAACAGTCTGTTGATTGAGTAAACTGAGTAATTACCTCATGAAACAAGCAGGTGTCAGGTTTTGGTACAACGAGGTGTAAAAACAATCATTTCAGTTCTGCTGGTCATTCTAACTGCTTCTTTACACAAAATCTTTATTTCTAATCTATAATTGGAGCGATAAATTGCCAAGGTGGCAAAAAAGTAAGTGTGACTCTGATGTCTCCCACTCGGAAAAATGCTGACTAAATACACAAGGGAGGCCAGGACCAGAGAAAACCAAAACCATGACAGTGTTGTCATTCAGTTTTGTTTTTTTTGTTGTTGTTGTTGTTATTTTTGTCTACATTGTACTTTTGCATTTCTGTTTATCTTGGAAAAGGGATCTCTGCTCTGTTGCTCTTTTTAAGCTTTGTTCTGTTTCTTGTCATTAAATTGGAGGTTTTCCTTCTGATTTGTGATTTTGCATTATTTACTGACCAGTGACAACATTAAAACAAGCTGCCTAATGAAGTTAAATCCCCCCGTCTGAGCCATCGAGGCCTGAAATCCACAGACCTCTGAAGGTGTCCTGTGGCATCAGGCACTCAGGCGATAGCAGCAGATCCAATGATCTGACTTGTTCTTCCCATAGATGCTCAATTGGATTGAGATCTGGGGACTCTGGAGGCCCAGTCAACACCTTGAACTGTTTGTCATGTTCCTCAACCTATTCCTGAATAATGTTTGCAGTGTGGCTGAACAAGGCCATCAGGGAATAAAGCTGCCATGAAGGTCTCTCTGTAATAATGTTTATGTAGGCGTCAAAGTACCATCCACATAAACGCAGGACTAAAGGTTTCCCAGCACAACATTGTCCAGACCATCACATTGCCTTTACCAGCTGTCTTTCTCCCACAGTTCAACCTGGTGCCATCTCCTCCCAGATAACATACACACACTATGCCATCCACATAGCATCAAAGAAAGCATGATTGATCAGACCAGGCCACTTTATTCTATTGCCTTGTGGTCCAAGTGTGAGGCTCATTGTAGGTGCTTTCAGGGTCTACAGGGGTCTACATGGGCCTCATACACCAGTAACTTACTCCCCATGTGCACCAGTAAGTCCTGCCATTCATGACCCTGTCTCATTGGTTGTTCTTCCTTGGGCCACTTTTGGTTTCTTCTAACCACTGCATACCAGGACAACCCCACAGCACCTGCCATTTTGGAGATGTTCTAGCCATCACAGGTTGGTCCTGATAAAAGTCGCTCAGATCCTCTACACGCCTCTATGAGCTCAAACCACTTTTCGTGCTTCGAGACCTGACTGTTGACTTGGTGTCTAATATTTCCCACCCAGTCACAGGAGTTATAGTAACAACATAATAACTTCAGTGGTTTTATTGTTCTGGGATGCATTCCAATATCCATATTTATATACTATATAATACGAGAGAAAAAGATTTAGTATGTCCCAATACATAGTATTTTACATGCAGTATACTACACTAAAAATACCAGGATGTCCTACTACAGCCAGTCAGATTTTGCAGTAGGCAAGCCAGCATGCTTTTCTGGTCACTGTGGCCCACAATCCTGTGCACAGTTACTTCACATACATCACGGTGTCTCACACAATTACAAACAAGCTTGATAAACCAAGAACCCACAGAATATGACCGCTTCTTTTTTACTACAGACTGCGACAGTCAAAGTTCAAGGTGCAATATTGTGAAGAAATCTTATGTCCCAATTGTATGTATGCTGAATTAAACAGTATGTACTTCATAAGGGCAGCTGTAGTTCGTGTTTAAATTAAGAAGAAAAAGTATGCAATTTGGAACACAGCCTGGCTGGTCAGCGTATTAACTAAATTACATTTTCTCGATAATGTGATACCTGAATGAATGTGATGGCTCACACAGAAAATCCAACTTCAATCTGCTGCAGTTTTACCTCAACACAGAGTTCTGCTGACTGGTCCAGGTTTGGTTTAGTATAAAATGTCCCTCTTTCTCTCTCTGACTGTGCCAGTCCTTGGTGTCCATGCAAGCTCTTATGCAATGCCCAATGGAAAAACTGAAGGGACCGGTTCTAGCAGTTGCAAGCTAGTTATCAGTTATAGATTAAATGAATGAAAATGTGGTAGTCAGCTTCATATGTAACTTCTTTCACTTCAATGTGCCACCTCTAGTATTTATAAAAGTTACAAATAAGCATCACTTTAGGTTGATGAAAAAAAAGACTCCCAGCTGCATTATGGATTTCATCAAATGGTTCTATTTTGAGGTTGTTTCCTACAGTTGGCTTGCATTAAACTCCCACTTGTCACAATCAGCGTCACAGTTCACTCGGAGGAGGCCTGAGACTCATTTTTAGTCTCATCACTGTAGTTGAGTGGTGGGTATTCAAGTTTGAATGACACTCCGCTCACCTGCCAAAATGAGCTAAAATAGAGAAGTAAGTGCATGTTTCAGAGTTCCAGAGGATGTGACAGAGAGCGTGATGAACATTTGCATGTGTATAATTCATCATATTGCCTTTTTGCAATTCACTTAAGATTTCACAGGTTTGCCTTTCAGCATTTCCAATCACTGCTCAGATTGCTACCTCTTTTGAAGTGATGTTAAGCAGGCTGATAAAAGCAGGTCAATTGTCTGCTGCAACTAATTAGAGTAGTAAAAAAAAAAAACCTTTAAAGTGAGTAAGCTGTGGTTGAATTTTTCTAAATGAGGTCATCAAAACAAGACTTTAACACAACAGATGTGTCCCAATTTGACTGTCTACTCATCACCATTTTTACAATATACTTGTACTGTTTTTGCAATTTCAAGAACTGTACATACAGTGCCTAAAACGTATCCAGTCCCCTTGGTAGTTTTCCTCTTTTATTGCTTTTTATTCTCGAATAATGGTCAACTTAATTTAGCTTTTTTTGACAAGATTGTTTTGTAAAAACACTCTTTTGTGTCAAAGTGAAAACAGATTTCTACAAAGTCTATTTAGTGCAGGTCATCCTCAAAATCTG